GGGGGGGTGATAAGGTAAATTTTATTAAATAAAAAAGGTACCAAGATGGTACTAATACAATAGGCCAGCAACTAACACAAAACAGATATCCTAGGCCCCTTAATTTATCGGCCATCAGTTGCTCATAATTTTATCAGCCAATCTGTCATTCTGGTCTAAGTAGTCAAAACCTAGCCCCTCCACCATAGGCCCCCTAATTATTATCATGTCTCCAACAAGAGTTGCAAATTCACCTCTATCAAACTCGTATGCAAACTCTTGTCGTAAGCTGTTTGAGATAGATAACTAGGACAATGGAACCTATGCAATATGCAGTCAAGCTTTCTCTACATGAAAGATCTTTTCTATAGTTTGCTGAATAGTAAGGAGTTAAAACAGTGAAACAGAGCTGACAGTCTGTGGTTCAGGCACAGCCAACAGTTAAGCTTGCATGAGAGAGTTGTGTTAGCCTCTTACTTAAAACAACAACAACAACCAACCCAGTATAATCCCACATAGTGGGGTCTGGGAAGGGTAGTGTGTACGCAGTCTTACCCCTACCTTGTGGAGATAGATAAGCTATTTCTAACAACTAATATGAAATATCAATTAGGAGGTTAATACCTATGACTAAGAGGTTGGTTTAGAGTCGGGGGATCCATAAATTATGGTGCTCCACTGATACAAACTATTTCTTGCAAGCATGGAGATGAGAATCTGAACATTCATGAAAGTCGATAAGGAGGAAGCACTTGAAATTCATCTCCCGTGGCATCTCACATTATATCAATAGACATATAGAACACTTACCCTGAGATGCCACGATACAGCTGGTCATAAGCTTTCCGCTGCTTTTCATATGCAGAAGCATTCTCCTCATTCAGTTCGCCTTTGGCAGATAAAGTCTTTGCATTTTCATGCTCCATTTGCCGAAGTGACTCCAATTTGGTTAAAAGAAGAAAATTATCATCAGTAATCACAATTATCGGACAATTGGTGTGGATTTAGAAGCTTGCAGGAAAGCAGCATAGCGGAAGAAGATTCGGAGCACAAAACAGTTTTAAAAACAGCTCAAGTATGGTATAGTTATTAAAGGCACCAAAAAGTGAGGAAGAGGAGACTAGATCACACTACTTATCTAGTACCCTCCCTGCTAGACTCAAAATCTTCCAAACCAAAAAAGGAAAGAGCCCTTACAGCATGCTCTGACTGAAGAAGTTCTACGGCTGCGTCATAATATGTTTGGAACACCTTCCTAAAGAACCTTTTCTGATCAGTTGTCACATTAAGGGCCTTGAAAAACTGTAGCATTCGGCAACATCAGAGGAATTAAGAACATGGAGAAACATTAGCAGACTGTAATGAAGTATCAAATGAAGAAACACATTAATGACGTCAAATTACAACTCATCAGAAACTTTTATTCTTTAGTCAAATATGTAATTCTGAAACAAACTGGCTTAAAAGAAAGAAAGAAAAAGTCAGCAAGCCAACCAAGACCCATGTCATTGACTGGCAACCCATCTTCTTTAACAACCTTTACCACCTTCCACAGACAACAATCAAGCCATCTAAAAACGGTCTCTACACTACAAAATGGCATATATCCCAGGGAAGCTATTCAACCACCAGTCTTTGGCAGCAGATAAAGACTTCATAAGGACAAAATGGTAAAATCAACCCATCATGCGATCGCAGAACTAATACAAGATAAGGGTTTATGAAACCATAAGTTGAGTAATAGACAACAGAGAGAAATTTTGGAACACAGTACTTTCCCTAAGTTAAGAATCAAAGAGATAGAATACTGAAGTGAAATAAGTAGCAGAGAGTGGGCTAGTTCTACTGCTAACTTTTCAACATTACAAATTTTGCTCGGGAAGGGGGGAATAAAGGAAATGGAGGTGTTGTACCTCTTCAAGAATATCTTGGCCAGACAATGGAAGCCCAAGCAGGTATCTTCCTTGCCGAGCAAAGCTAGCAAGGAGTGACAAATTAGTCTGAGTTGCATCACGATCCTTCAGATGTTCAACATTGGTGAGGTCCTTAACAATATTCACAAAGATGCCAGTATCGTCAACAACTCCAACAAAGTAAAGTTCCAAAAGAAGTTTTAAAGTGCTACGCTTTTTCATAGCCCTCGCATTCTTGTCTGCATCTACATCCTCTGTAGCTTTTCCAGGAAAGAACACTTTCACAAGGCCTTGAACAAGACTTGGTGAAAAGTCCTTGTACCGCTGATGAAGCAGAGAACAGATCTGGGCCAGGAAGAAGATACATTAATAGAAATAGCAAACAGCGTATGTCCGAATGAGAAACACAAAGCTTCATTTAAATTAGAAGCCTCGGTGTTTTGCAAAAATATTAGAACTAGGGGTGGCAAACGGCGGATAGCGTTGGATATGGGCGGGTCGAAAACGGGTAATATAAAAACGGATTAATTATCCTATCCGACCCATATTTAATACGGATAAAAAACGGGTTAACCGGCGGATAATATGGATATCCATATTATCCATGACTTCTCGAATATGATCACTTTTGGGAGAATTCGTAGTCACCCAATTTGAGGCTTCACAAATGTAAAAGTTAAACACACTAGTTATCCATTGATTATCCATTGGTTATCCATTTTCTAAGTGGATAACATGGTTCTTATTCGTGTTTGACCCGTTTTTAAAAAGTTCATTATCCAACCCATTTTTTTAATGAATAATATGAGTGGATAACTGTTTTCTTTTAACCATTTTGCCGCCACTAATAAGAACTCCTTTTTCTTACGAGATTCTAAAGAGAGAATATGTGTAAATTAAGAACCTCTCAGCCAAATACACATGTCTTCTGATGCGTATATCACTTCTAAGTTGAAAGCCGACATGGGATACAATTTAGAGTAAGTCAGCTAAGAAGCTTCTCTAATATGACTTTCTACTGCCAGACACATGATGGGATAAGGTGTGTGTATTCTTATTCGTTCTTAGTACACAGGTAAACACAAGATACCTTCAGGCCTTTCCCGTTGGGATTCTCTACAAGTGATCATTGTGGTTCATATCCATGCAAATTGAGTTATACAAGAATGTTAGGTATGTCTATTATATGATATTTGCCATACCAAAGGCTAGCATTCATGGTTATACGTCTTGTGTATCGGTAAATGTAGTTGTTAGTATGATATAGTATTGGTACAGGAAATACTGAGTAATGTTTCAGATTTTTCACCACAAATAATATAAAGGCAGTGGTAATAAAGGCAACCTAGAGTAGGGTAAATATCATGAACTGAACAATAAAACAAAACTAGATTCTCAAGAATGAAGATGCCAAGTACAAAAAAGAAAGATGGTCTGAAGACTAGGTAAAAAAGCTCAATTTGTCGTCAGTTATAGGGAGCACGTCACTACAGACAAGAAGCTGAGTCTCACCAAAGAAAAATTGCAGAAGTTAATGGAGAGAGGAAACTCCTGGTTTCGCCTCCAGACAGAATTAACAGCATAAAGCAAAGGTGAAGTTTGAGGGTCCAATCATCTGTCTTTCGAGTTATCCTCATTAAATCCCGAGTTCTCTATGAAGATTTAATTAATCCTAATCTTAACTTTGACAAAGTTCTCCTTCAATTCTTGTCAAAATTTTCCTTATCAAAATAAATTCCTCAAAAAAGATCTAGTCAGACTTTTGACAAATTTCAGCACCATAATACGTACACTCAACAACTTCCTTTTGGCCAAGAAGTCCGTTCTCAGCCAAATACCATCATCCGCAGGGGACAGCAGGATTTTGGAAAAACACAGTTTTTTTTGATAAGGGGTTGCTCTGATGGTAAGCAACCTCCACTTCCACTTCCAACCAAGAGGTTGTGAGTTCAAGTCTCCCCAAGAGCAAGGTGGGAAGTTCTTGGAGGGAAGGATGCTGAGGGTCTATTTGGAAACAGCCTCTCTACCCCAGAGTAGGGATAAGGTCTGCGTACACACTACCCTCCCCAGACCCCACTAAGTGGGATTATACTGGGTTGTGTTGTTGTTGTTGTTGTTGTTGTTTTATTGGAACAACACAGTATACACCCTTAAAGCTATTATCATTTGTACCGACCAGTACCGTATGAAGTTTAAAAGGTATGGCTTTTGTAAGCAAATACCTAAAAATTCCAGAAGAGAATCTTGCACGGTATCTTAAATCCAGGCTAGCAAACACAAGGCACAAGCAAAATTGTTAGAAAAAATATACTGTTTACATTAAAACAAAGCAGAGATCAAGCAAGTAACTACCTGCACTGCAGCTTGTATGTCTGTGGACCGAAGCTTTGCATCACATATAGCAGTCACTGCTTCACTTACAAACTTGCTTAAGTTGACACCGCGCAACTCTTCCATCAAACCTTCTCGCTGCTCTTCATTAATCTGTTTTAGCTTTTTAATAACTGCAGTATTGCGCTTAATACTAGAATCCAACGTCCTGAGAAAACCAGTGTCTGAAACAAAATATCAGTAGGTCAGCCTCAACCAAACTGTACCCATATGTTTAAAGTGGAAAAAAAAAATTCCAAATCAAGCCAAGTTCACAAACTTCCAAGTAGATATACATGTGCTAGCAAGCGCTAGTATAGGAGTAGAGAATATATATTCATTGACCACAAGAATCACCTCTTAGAAATCAACTAGAGAAAAATAAAATTGAATATGCACAAGTCACTAAAACAACTTTATCCTTGTTGCCACTTATTACCAGGAAAGAAAAACATATAGAACATGAATGAACGGAAGTGTATTCTTAAAATGTCGAGTCCACAAACTATTCAATTCTGGGATCAAAGTTCTGAGGCTACTAACAAAGTATCATAGAAAATCAAGTTGTCATTTATTATTCCCACTTGGCGTGCAATTTCTCACAAGGATAAAAAAATGTATCGGCATTTGAATATTCAAAATTACCTTATTGTTACATGTCAATTCTCATGTTTACTGCTTACAAGTTCATGGAAAGTATAAAGAAGGAAAAGGGAATGTGAGGAAGAAAATAATTAAATATATGGAGAAAAAAACTGGAATAAGGAAAATAATTGAATAACTAAGTTCATAAATAATACAAAACTCAGAGTAACCTGGCCTGTCTGGATTCAAATTGATCTGCCTCAGAGCCATCTTTGCCTCAACAGATTTTTTGTATTCCTCGTGACGAGCCACAGCGTCCTGCATGAAATATCGGCACAAACAATTGCAATAAAACAACTTAATTACAGTATCCATAACACTATAAATTTTGTTGGAACTTCATCAAAGCTGTTGATTAACTATTTTACCAATGAAAATTAAGAAATCATTTCTTAAAGATAATGGCATTACCTCATCTTCATGTTTCTCCGGGTGTTCCACTCCAACACGACGTTCATCCTCAGGATGTTCCATCTTTTGTTTATATGACTGGCTGCAATCTTTAGCTATTCAAGAAGACATGAAACTAGTACAGTAAACGAAAATATTAATTAGCAGGAGTATTGACGATCACGTTCTCTTTATTTATAACAATCATGGTAGGTTAAAAAAAATATTACAGATATTGAACATCTTCTGTATTTAACATGACGGACTTTGAAGAGCCCTACAGGACAGACTTTTACGATTAAAGAACTGCAAATAAAGTCAACATGGAAACTTAAGATAGTTACGACTTAGAACTGAATCCATTATTTGGCTAATAAAAAGGATTTACAAATGCTTTGGAAATTATGATTTACTTGACACTTGAGAATTCAGATGACAAATAATTATTTTATTGGCGGTCTTTCCTCTTGTTTTTTAAAGACCTTGTCGCATTGTAAGTTTGATAATTAAATAGTAGTAAATAACCCTAATCCCATATGTATTAGGAGTAGGACATGTATCATATATATATATAGGGCACATTGTATCATTGTCAATATTAAGCAATAATATTTTTCTCCCGTGCATTCTCACATGGTATCAGAGCAATAGTGAGAAATTAATCGCTGTGCATCATTCCAGCGACTTCCGGGAAGAAAGACCTTGTCGCCGTGCAATTCTCCGGCGACTTAGGAGGTTGTCCGCAACAAAATCATTTTTCCCTAGTGTTGTGCAAAATCCAACACCACCACAAGGTCCCTAAGACAGAGGCGACCAAACCCCAGAAAAAATCTCCGGAAAACGCCCTCCCACAGAGGACGGGTTCCGCCGGCGCGTGGGACAAATGCGCCGGCGCGTGTGCCTGTTTCCGGCCATTTTTTGGCCTCCCTTCTTCAGGACAGCCTTATCTCGAGGCTTTTCCGAGCCTACCCATCAAGATTACATCAGATTCCGACGACTTTTTTATTTTCCGACGAGCTACAGTATTTCTGGTGTACAGTAATAGTGAAACAGTGATTTCCAAACAATTTTCTGACTTTTTCCGGCAGTGAACATTATAATGTCATTCTTATTAGAAGCCTTAGACTCACAATTTGTTGGATCCAATGCATTGAATCCAATCCAAATAGTTTTTTTACCGGATTATATTGAGTTCCTTCAATACAAAGCGCGTAAACAGACATATTCAGGATTAGCCTCCGTTGTTCCAACAAATAGTAGCATGACTTGTGTCTCCCAATCTTCACCTTCTGAGTCTTGGGTCACCTTCTGAGTCTTGGGTCACTGATTCAAGTGCATCTGATCATATTTCTGGTAACAAATCTCTTTTCACTAGTATCTCATATTCTCAATCTCTTCCAACAGTCACAATGGCCAATGGGTCTCAAGCCATGGCAACTGCAATAGGTCAAGCAAGTCCACTTCCTTCCTTACTTTTAGACTCAATTCTTTATGTTCCTGGTAGTCCTTTTAATCTCATAGCCGTTAGTCGTTAGCCAAATCACTTAAATTTGTTATTTTATTTCTTGATGACCTTGTTTTTATACAGGAACGCAGTACGGGGCGAATCATTGGTATCCGGACGTGAATCGGATGTACTTTATTACCTTATCCTTGCAAAATCACATGGACTCGCATCTTGTCTTCCTCTAATAACTTATCCCGTTACTGATTCACCAGATTTATTACATAAACGGTTAGGACATCCCAGTTTGTCAAAACTTCAGAAAATAGTACCTGGCTTATCTCACTTGTCCACTCTAGAGTGTGAGTCGTGTCAGCTCGGTAAGCAAACCCGCTCCCATTTCCCGCGGCGTCTGGATAATCGAGCAGAGTCACCTTTTACTTTAGTCCATTCAGATGTTTGGGGTCCTAGTCGGGTCAGTTCTACCTTGGGATTCCGCTACTTTGTCAGTTTCATTGATGATTATTCCAAGTGCACTTGGATATTTTGATGAAAAATCGATCCGAGTTGCCTATTTTCCAGGCTTCCACGCTGAAATTCAAAATCAATTTGGGGTTTCTATCCTCACATTTCGTAGTGATAATGCCCTAGAGTATTTATCTTCCCCATTTCAGCAGTTTATGAACTCCCTTGGGATTATTCATCAAATTACCCGTACCCTACTCATACCCTACTCATACAATCTCATGTTCCGCTGCGTTTTTGGGGATGCAGTTCTTACATCTTGTTATCTTATTAATCGTATGCCATCTTCAGCTATCCAAAATCAAGTTCCATTCTCTGTCCTGTTTCCCCACTTACCTTTGTTCTCTCTTCCACATGTGTCTTTGGGGGTACGTGCTTTGTTCATGACCTTACCTAGGAAAAGATAAGTTAGCTCCTCGTGCTCTTAAGTGCATACTTTGGGTTACTCGAGAACGCAAAAGGGATATCAATGTTATTCTCCTAACCTTCAGCGATATCTTATGTCTGCTAATGTTACCTTCTTTTAAACTCAATCATACTTCACTGGTCCAGTTAATCACTTAGATATTTCTAAGGTGCTACCAGTTCCTTCTTTTGGAGATTCAGTCCCTATCTCCCATTCATCTTCCTCCATAGCTCCACCACCTACAGTTCCGATTGTAGCTCCACCACCTATAGCTCCAATGTCACCACCGAGTCCAGTGCCACCACCTAGTCTAGTTCCACCACCTATAGCTCCAATGCCACCAACTATAGCTCCAATGCCACCAACTATAGCTCCAGTTCAACCTTCTACAGCTCCACCACTCCTAACATATCATCGTCGTCCGCGCCGAATATCAGGCCCAGCTAATTCACGTCTTGCACCTGACCCTGCTAGTACTGCGGACTTGTCTCCTCTTAATCAACCGATTGCACTTATGAAAAGGTATATGATCCACACTTAATCCTAATCCTCATTATGTCGGTTAAAGTTACCATCGTCTCTCATCATCCTATTGTGCATTTTTTTTGCACCGGGTGTCCGAGTCTCTTCGAGCCCCGACTAATCCCGGGGGTGCACAGGCCATCGGCAAGGAGTTTCCCGCAAGTGCACCACGGTTAATTCAGGTTTTACCCAGTCCGATGGCCCTCATCATCCCATTGTGCATTTGTGTCATCTTTAACCTTTGTTTCCATCCCTAAGTCTACAGGTGAAGCACTGTCTCATCCCGAATGGCAAAAGGCTATGATTGACGAGATGTCTGCTTTACGTACGAGTGGTACTTGGGAGCTTGTTCCTCTTCCTTCGGGTAAATCGACTGTTGGTTGTCGTTGGGTGTATGCTTGTTTTGGGTGTATGCTTGTCGTTGGGTGTATGCAGTCAAAGTTGGTCCAAATGGCCAGGCTGATAGACTTAAGGCTCGTCTTGTTGCCAAAGGATATAGTCAAATATTTGGACTCGATTACAGTGATACTTTCTCTCCCGTGGCTAAAATTGCATCAATCTGCCTTTTTCTATCCATGGTTGATGTTCGCCATTGGACTCTCTATCAGTTGGACATTATGAAAATTTTACTTCATGGTGACCTTGAGGATGAGGTTTATATGGAGCAACCACCTGGTTTTGTTGCTTAAGGGGAGTCCAGTGGCCTTGTATGTCGGTTGCGCCAGTCCCTCTATGGTCTAAAGCAGTCTCATCGAGCCTGGTTTGGTAAGTTCAACACAGTTATTCAGGAGTTTGGCATGACTCGTAGTGAAGCTGATCACTCTGTATTTATCTGGTCGTTTATGTTAACAATATTGTTATTACCAGCAACGATCAGGATGGTATTAGTAAGTTGAAGCAACATCAGCACTTTCAGACTAAGGATCTGGGCAGATTAAAGTATTTTCTAGGTATTAAGGTCGCTCAATCTAGCTCAGGTATTGTGATCTCACAACGGAAGTATGCCTTAGATATTCTTGAGGAGACAGGAATGACAGGTTGTAGACCTGTTGACAGTCCGATGGATCCGAATTCTAAACTTCTGACAGGACAGGGGGAGCCTCTTAGCGATCCTGCAAGATATAGACGGTTGGTTGATAAATTAAATTACCTCACAGTTACTAGACCTGACATTTCCTTTCCAGTGAATGTTATGAGTCAGTTCATGGATTCTCCTTGTGATGCAGTTATCCACATTCTTCAGTATATAAAATCAGCTCCAGGAAAAGGCTTATTGTTTAAGGATCGAGGCCATGAGCAGATCGTTGGATACTCAGATGCTGATTGGGCAAGATCACCTTTTGATAGACGTTCTACATCTGGATATTGTATTTAAGTAGGAGGAAATTTGGTGTCTTGGAAGAGCAAGAAACAGAATGTGGTTGCTCGGTCCAGAAGCAGAATATCGAGCAATGGCGACATGTGAGCTAATTTGGATCAAACACTTGCTCAAGAAGTTGAAATTTGGTGAGATTAGTCAGATGGGACTTGTGTGTGATAATCAAGATGCTCTTCATATTGCGTCAAATCCAGTGTTCCATGAGAGAACTAAATACATCGAGCTTGACTGTCACTTTGTTAGAGAAAAGTTACTCTCGGGGGATATTGCTACAAAATTTGTAAAGTCGAACGATCAACTTGCTAATATTTTCACCAAGTCCCTCACTGGTCCTCATATTAGTTATATATGTAACAAGCTCGGTACATATGATTTATATGCACCAGCTTGAGGGGGAGTGTTAGTTTGACAGTTAAATAGTAGTAGTAAATAACCATAATCTCATATGTATTAGGAGTAGGACATGTATTATACATACAAGGGTCATGGTATCATTATCAATATTAAGCAATAATATTTTTCTCCCGTGCATTCTCACACTTTTCACCTTTCAAAATTTCAAAAAAAAAATAATTTCACAAACGCAAAAGGGAGATTTACACCCCATGACAAAGTTGAAACCAATATCTCATAAAGAAGCACATAAGTACAAATTCACTATAAAAAAGGAGAAAAAAGATACTTGAGTCAAGTATTTGTGTACAACTTCCTTTAGGCACAAAAGCAAACACAAAGCATTTTTTTTTCGCTGCTCAGTTCACAATTCCAAATGAGCAAATATGGTAGAAAAAAGATACTTAGGTTTTTTTACCTGAAACAGAAACAGGAAAGCTTGAGACTCCATTTCGCTACAGAAGAATG